AGCTTGAAGGCTTGGTGTATTTGTGTTTCTTTGACGACGGATCTTGGTTTCAGGTAGAGTTTTGTTTCAAATTTTTTATTCTGTGTTCCGTAGTTACTAGTAAATGGTTGCATGTACAGTAATGACCTTAATGGTTCAGGTCAGAGCCCATAGGGTCTTTTCAAGATTGACGAAACAAGAATATGAGATAAGCTTCATGCACATGTCCCTCTGTAATTCCCCGTTCCTCTATGAGTAGCGTGAATTTGGATCTTGATATCCACTGCACTTTCTATTTAAATGAGAGATTGTAGGTTATCTTCTTCTATCAATATTACACTGAAGACTGACGACTGACGACTCCAACTCTCTCAATTAACCCTCCCCTCCCCCATGGAGCAACGAGGCAGTTTCCATGCTTAATAATATAGGCTTCAAATATTTTTGAAGCACATGCGAAAAATGTTTATGAACAACTAACTGTTTTCTGCATGGGATGTTAACCTTTTTTAGTGTTTTGTGGTATGACTTCATGAACAAACAAACACATCCCATCTTCTGTAACAGTCGCTAAATGCTCTTTCATCTTGAGTTAAATTTTAAACACAAGATGCTTTATCATAAGAGATGTATTGTTTGAAAATTGGGGTGTATCCTTGGATATTTCCCAGTTTTAGCTGGGTTATGTTCAATCACATTATACATTAGACAAATTGTGTGCAAGCAAAAGTATTTGATGGATTATGAGTTTGTCTATTAGTCATAGTAAAACTTCTCTAAATGGTAGATTAAAAGGTAACCTGTATTGAAATTTTGAAGCAGCCCATTTAGCTGTATGATATAAAGAGGTTGATTTAGTTATGGGATATGAAACTTTACCATTGTTGGAGTGCACCGACAGTGTTACTTTGTAAACATGACATAAATGCATATCTTTTCAGTGATAATGATTGCAATTTTGAATGTGTATTGCACTTGTAAGAGTAAATGTCATCTATATTAGATCATCTGAAAACTTTAGTAAGGTTAATAGGCTTTGTGGTTAGGGATGAGCTTTTTAAATTTTTCGCTCAAATTTCAAGAATAGGTACAATCAGTCTATAGTGTTTATGGTGTATCATAAACCTGTGCTGATTTTGCTGATCTCAGGGTACACTGCTAACCAGGGATAAAAAACAGTATGGAGTTATGGGTGAAGGTAAGCAATTAAAAATTAAGAAATCATGAAGCCCTGAGCAAGTTGTCCAATAAAAGATTTTACCCAATACAGAAGTACCAGTTTTATAAAAATCACTAGGTCAAATGTTTACCAATATCATTTTTATCCTCTTTTTTGTCCAGCATGGTACATCGAAGGCCTTTACATTTATCCAGCATTTTCTTTTTGGTCCTGTGCTGTGCCTACAGGCCTGACTTTGTGACAGATAAACTAAAGATAGCCCACTCTTTACGGCCCTTGCAAGCTTTTGTTTAAATGAGGCCATTACACATTATAAGTTAGACAGCTTAGGAATTTCTAAACCTTTTAGCCTGAAATCAGGACCATAATAACTATGTAACATGGCAACTTAAATTATGGTGTTTTTTTTTCAGCTAATGACATAGAAACCACCATGCAGCACTCAAACTTCACCATTCAAGCTTTGATAGACATGAAATTAAAAAATTTTTGAAATTTTATTGAGACTATAATTCTCAATAGTTTAAGAAGTTATTGATTTTTTTGACAAAGTGGAGGGTTTAAGCGAATTCAGTGCCAAGCACTTCATTTGATATTCACCAATTAATATCCAATTCATGTTCATGCAAACAGCAGTTATTAGCTGCCGTTATTTCTGCTATAATTCTCTCAGGCTGCAGGTATTTGTCACTCCCACTTTGTGAGAGCAACATATTATAATTTCTCAGCCTGTCAGGCTGTTGATGTGGTTAGCTTATGAAATTATGATGAAGCAATCTTCATTTTATATTTGTTTTTATATCAATGTATTTTACTTTTATTTATTTGATATGCAATGAAATTAATTCTCAACAGCTTGTGGCCCACCAGAGGAAGGGTTTGCTGAATGCTGTTTTGAAGAAGAACCATTATTTTACATGATTACCATTATTGACCGACAAGATGATGAAGAAATGGTGCGTCAGAATTAATTGCTTTCACATATCATCCTGTTAAAATCAGTGATAGGGATTTTTTGGAAGAACAACTACATTGAGAAAAGTGTTATACAATATTCAAGTGTTACTGGTCCAGTCATCAGTGCTAAACTCTGGAGCAAAAGTGTCAGTTTGATCCTGGTCTTGCATCACCATTCTCTAAAGTGAAATCTACCTTAACCCTTTAACTCCTGTGAGTGACCAAGACAGAATTTCTCCTTACAATAGCTATATACTATACATATATAAACTATATGAAGCAAACAAGTGATGGAATTAAAGAAAAATCTTAATGAATGGATTATTAGTTGATCCAATACCAAATTCTCTAAACTAACATCACAAGAACTGTATGGCAGACAGTAAGGAGAATTACAGATGAAAACTTGGGAGTTAAAGGGATAAGTAAATTACAGGATGACTCATATTAATATAATTGTATCTACTTAAGGTGGCTCAAAAATTTATTTTTGCTTTTTAACTCCCTTTTTTCCATGGATTATTATTTTCACACTTTTTTATATGTTTCCTTGAAATTGGTAAATTCAGTAAATTGGTGATTCAGTAACCATTTTTAGCTACCTAAGGTTTTGTAAATTGCACAACAGTGGTTTAAAACCCAAATAGGATAGAGTGAATGATCAACAAGCTTACAACAGAATGACCTTGAGTTATTGGTCAGAGTAAGTGTAATACTAATAAAAGTAAGAGATCTGTAATCTTAACTGTGGTTAAATACAAAGAAATCTCAAGCTCTTAGTAAAAGTCCCCCCCTTAATGGGGTTCTCATCATACAGGCTTCATCATATTCAGGGCAAGACATGTAACTGTTACAAGTGTAACCATTTACAGCATCAAAAAAGGTTGCTGTGGATATGCCTTTATGTATCAAAATACCTTCAGAATCAGCAGCATGGAACTGGCATTATATGTGATTAACAATACTTTGAAATGTGTAATTCCCCAAGAATTGGACCAATATGCACAGCCATAGGCAGTCAAACTGGAGGCATGCTACACAGTTCTAAATGCACTGAAGGTTTTGAATTTAGTACTAATGGCCTAATCATGAAACAACTAGCTGATATACTGTCTACTAGTTCTTAATTTGGCCCTAGTGCAGACTTAGCTAAATACGACTATTTCTTGTATATTGATACATATTCAATCAATCACAGGTGTTTAAACATGTTATGAAGACTGGTGGTGACAACTGTACATTAACATCAAATGAAATTGACTTTGAAACTGAAGAACTTTTAGTTGGAAGCAAGGTAAGCTTAGTGGTGAATGAGAACGTTATTATTCAGTTTGTCACTGCATGTTTTACTTAATTACAATCGACAAAATTCTGTTTTCAGTATTTTGCTGTTTTGCAATCATTAACTTCTTAAACGATCAATATGTTGTGGTTACAAACTAAATTGAGAGCCTAAAGGTCAGCTATATCACATAGTTTGACTATGTTTGTCCATCTTTGATATTTTAGATTAAGCTAGCTTTTGTGTGGGACATCAGCTACTCTTGTTAATTTTCTATCCCATTTCAGCCTTATTTTTCTTTTCTGATAACCATCAGATGCAATTACATTTTATTTTAAGAAAACGGGAAATATTTTCGATTTTACGTTGTTGTGCGTTTGCTGAAGTGTGCTTTCAAACAGTTAATTTTTTTAAAGTTGATAACGTTGGTAACCTCAATTACATAGGCCTGTGACTCCTAACAAGCATTTTACCGTTTGATAGGAATTTAAATACGAACAGTCTGTCAACTTGACGCCCCTTTATTACAAATGCTTGTATACACGCGACCAACTTGTATACCGACCCGTATGCGAGTTGACTTGTAGGTGAAAATGACTTGTAGGTGAGATAACTTGTGGGCGAGGGTAGACCAACCAAACCGTAGTTTACCGCGGTTTCTGTACCATGATGCAAGTGCAAACATTGCTTGAATCCTCATTGATAGGGGCTAACTCGTGACAGATTAACTCTCCGCTATTTTGACCTTTTCTAATGGAGGAAGAGCTACTTTTGCTGTATGCATGGGTCCAAGGGCAGGAAAGGGATTAATTGCACGAGGATTTTCGAAGTTCTCAAAAAATTGCCCTAAGGCAATTTGTAGAACTGTGAGGTGAAATTAATCTTTAATTGCACGAGGACGTTTTCAATTACTTGTTTATCACCTTTAGAGCATAGAGGGCACTATGTTACAGATCAGTAACAGTTCAGCTGTGTTCTCAAGAATTACTAATTCCAGTCTAATCACTTCCTTTCTTTGAACCTTGTTACTCTAACCGCCGCGTTACACGATGAATGTCGTAAATCACATTCAAGGTGTTTGCCTTGATCATGAATGGATTCTTTCTTAAAAACCTGCTTTGAATTAATCCCTCTTTGACTTTCTCTGTGTGTTCCTTTGTTTTACAGGCAAGTAATCACGTGAACAAATACTGCCGGTCAGAGCTGAAAGGAAAGGAGAGCATTGTTTGTTCTGGTCACATGACAATACATCGTAATGTTGAGCAAGACTAAAGGACAATTGTGAGATGAAAAGTTTTAATTAACAGTTCATAGCAACGGCTTAAATTTTTCTTACCTTCTTTCCAATGTGACATTTTGTCCTAAGGTAAAGCAAGCACTGTCTCGTGCACTTAGATCTGACGTAGTGAGGGTGTTTTGGAAGTTGTTTTGCAAAACTTTTGTCGTGGCTGAAGATCCATAGCAGAAAAATATGGTTACCAGTCAGAATACCGCTGCACTTGTTACATTGGTTTATTGTGAATTCTCCCCATTGCAAGTTCGGTCCCTAACCCAAAGCAAGTTCGCCTCCACCTTAACTAGTTTACCCCTTTCGACTCGTTTCCTTACAAACGCACTTCTAATGCACGAGTAATGCAAAGCCGTGAAACTACTCCAGTCTTAATCAAACGGGATTGACAGAATTTTGTGCCTTTACTCACAGCGCTGTTTAAACCTAGTTATTTTGTCTTTCCTTCGAACTTCATGCTGACCCAAAAGCTTCAACAGCATTGCATAATAACGCTCTTAACGGGTAGTTTGTTGTTGTAAGGGTGCAAACTCGCAAAGGTCAGTGATTTGGGGCGAACTTGCAAGGGCCGAATTTATCAGTTACCTTCATATTGAGCAGTTGCAAATAGTATAGCGTCACAAGTACTTTATACATGCTTGCGTTTGGCGTTATTTGGCTTATCGTGAAATAATTTGAAATGTGATTAAATTGATATTTGCTTATTTGCGCCACAAAAAGACTTAGGAGATGAGATGTCTGTGGTAGCCGAGTTTTTGTTCTTTGCCCTTCTTTGAGTAAGAGTACTACAAAATCTTTCCCATAGGGGACATCAAGCGAGATTTGACTACAACTTTGTAAACCACTATTAAACGTGGATGAATGTGCCTTGAGTGGTGATTGGTATACTGTGAAGCGTCCTAAAGTGGGCAATCGCGGCGAAAATGTTTCATGTAGAACGTGGCTTTGAGTCATGGGTAGTGACGTCATTCATCCGCACACATCTAATCCCATTAAAGCATTTGACCACATGTAGGCAGTCATGTTGTCGCCTTTAAGAGGCTACTTAGCGTGAAAATGGCTTGAAGGGGCGAAGATTGCTAATAGGAAGGTCATAAAAATGACGATGAAATTAACTTAAATTAAAAAACAATTGTTGATAAATCTGATGGAAGTTAGCTTTGAAAGTTGTACACCTCTCTAACCATGTTTTTTTTTTTATTTCGAAACAAATGCTCAGCCCTCTCGAGATCGCCAATTTTCAATTGATGGCAACAGTCGCGCGCTCGTATTCGGACAAAGCGTTTGTCCTCAGTATGGCTGCAACCTCAGGCGATATTTGTAGACCCGGCCCCGTGTACATGGTTTCTCAATGTGGCCCCTATCTGACAAATAACATCGTGAATTTTGCGATTTTATTGAAATGTAAACGAAACAGCTTGGACCTAAACTTTGAGTTCTCGCAAACTCGAAATAAGACTTGTTATGCTTTTGATACGGAAGGGCGTAAAACGTTGATTTTTTTCATTGAATACAAATAACTTGGCCTTTACAGTGTTACGCTCGACTGCTTCACTTTTTTTCCACACTCTTTACAGCTGAATTGTGAACCAGTCACCAATTGCACTTACATATTTATTGCCCCATTGCAAAGGTTACGAAAGAGGAGAACTTACATTTTGAAGACAAATGAGACATTACAGGTCTTTTCAAATGGTTAAACGCCCTCAAACAGGTACCATTAAGAGCGCTTTCAACCACACATTGCTGAAATGACACGAGCTACTAATACTACAACGGAAAAAAGGTCCCAAATATTTTTGCCAAATATTTTCTTCAAATGTTTTTCTGTTGCTCTGGTATGTATTATCTCTTTCTGTGTTGGCTACTTCCTGAATTCGAGTTATTCGACCAAACATCTAGAGATTGGAACGAAAACAAATCCGATTGAACGGAGAAATTCGCGTCACTTGCGTCCTTATCGAGAGCAACTCTTGGATTCGTTCAAGGCAGAAAATTTAGAAGAAACGTTAAGGTGAGGAAACCAAGTAATCCTTTTCAGAAATTGCGATTTTCTGGCAAGAGATCAACTCCCATTATCAAAAACCGACCGACTGCTTTTGTTTGTTCTTCACAGGTATTTCTCCAAGGAGCCACATCTCGCTGGTTCAAAACGCAACAACGACTTAGCGCACCACATTGCTACTAAATGGCGAGAGTATGGCTTTGATGAAGTTACAATGCCAAAGTATGATGTGCTCATGAGTTCACCTAAAAAAGATCGGAAGAGCCATGTGGAAATTCATCGTAATGGTCGTGTGATCTTTAAATCACAGTCTCATGAAAAGGTGAGAACGGTTTGCTTGTCAACTGTCTTGTTATTTTGACTACTCTGGCTTTGATTTTTATCCTTTTGCAAACCCTGTAAAATGTAAATTAACGAGGCATCTGTGATACTACAAAATCTGAGTGTATCAGTTTCGCATTAAGATTCTTGAGTCTTTTTTTTAGTTTTACGCTTCGAGGCAGACCACCAAAAACTAAAATTATACAAAGATTCAAAATTTGTTAGGTGTTAGTCGCCCTGACGAAGGGCTAACGCACGAAACGTCAGCTTTTAAACTCTCAACGGTGGCCAACTTACGTTATCAACTCAGTTGATAATACCATATTACCATGTTATACTCTCCCACCGACGCAACACCACAGTCTCTTCGGAAACTTACCCCCTTTAACAAAGAAGTGCATTGTCATCTAACGGCCAAGCTGTCTTTAAACTTCACCTCCAACAAAAAGATCCTTTCACAGCTGCTACATGTCACATTTCTTGTTTATCTTAACAGGTTTTACGTGAAGATGAAAAGAAAAGTAAAGATATCCCAATTTTTCTTGGTTATTCTCCCAGTGGGGTAGTGGAAGGTGAAGTTGTCTATGCCAACTTTGGCACTGAAGACGATTTTGAGAAACTGACAGCTATGGGAGTGTCTTTGAAAAATAAGATTGTTATAGCGCGACAGGGACAAGTATTTAGAGGAAACAAGGTATGCTATTTGTATTTAGAACTTAACAACCTTAGCGCAGATGTTACTGAGTTATGATTTGAGAGCTTCGTTGAATTGTTGTCTTTAATACTGCAATAGCTGTTGCACGCAATTTATTTCTTTTTTCGTCGGTTCTTTGAATCGTGGTTATGACTGCGCGCGCTAATAGGTCGTAGGGGTAAGGGATCAGGGTTAGGTTGTTTCCCATTGGCTAATCTGCAGAAACTGCTTATAAAAGTTTGTCGGCTTGCTGAGTTCAGAGTCAGGTGTGGTCTTTTCATACTCTGGCGAGCAAAGAAAACTTCTGGTGCCAATGTAAGTGCGCTGAAAGTCGAAAGAGAAGAAAACAACATCCGCTCCATTCCCTTTGCAAATTTTTACAGTTTTGCTATTATAAAATATTTTAAGGAACTATGGCTTTCTCTACCTTTGAAATCTTTTGAAACTGATTTTCAAGCAATTCCTGTCCAAAGAATGCTTATGTACTCTTCCATCTCTGATTACTAGGTAAACTATGGATGGATTAATATATAGATTTAGCCAAGCCTAGAAGCGGAGCTCGCAATTTTTTTTCCCGCACGTCCCAAGGGCACAACACCTTGAAATTAGTCGCACTTGATTATGATAGTCACTCAAACTTCATTGTTTCCTTAAGGTCTTCAATGCTCATTCACACGGCGCCTCTGGGGCCCTCATATACACTGACCCTGCGCAGTTTGCACCAGAGGGAGACGGAAACACTTTTCCCAAATCCTGGTGGCTTCCAGACTCCGGCACACAGCGTGGGTCAGCGATGAGTGAAACGGGGCCTGGTGACCCACTTACCCCGGGCTTTCCTTCTGTGGATGGTATATACCGACAGCCATTGAACGAAAGTGGCTTACCACCAATTCCTGCCTTTGCTCTATCTTATGGCGACGCCAAGGAAATATTAAAGCGAATGAAAGGTTAGAAGCTTAGTGACGCCGAAATGTTGTTGTTGTCGTTTTTTTAGTTAATTATTCTGTGAGTCGCTGCAGGTAAAGAGCGACTCATTCAATTGACCAATACTGATTTCTCTTGTGGTTTACTTGCAGTGACGCAGAATCTAAATTAGGTGCACCTTCACTCGGGCTTTCGGTTCGTCCTTCCGGGGTTTAATTTTTTTTTACGCTAGGCCCCTTCACTTTTGAACTTTATCCAAAATCCAGAAATGTTTTTGAAACTTCAAGCTATTTTTATGACATTCGGAACTGACTTGCTTTCGGCCTATCCTCTCAATTTTTTTCTTAAATTGATAAGGTCTTGTTTTTAGAAGTGCTGTCTGCTTGTCAGCGCCTTTGGCAGTTCGGATTAAGACATTCGAGAAAGAGATAGTGGAACAGTGTTCGAAGGAGTTAACTTTGTTATAGGACTCCACTTATTTACCTCTCTCCACGTGGACTATACCCGTATTTTCAGAAGCCAATACAATGTCTATCATGTTCTTACAACTTTACTCGACAGGTCCTGAAGCCCCGAAGAGCTGGCAAGGAGGCTTGCAACTCACTTATCACGTCGGGCCGGGTTTTAAAGACGAAGATCTTTCATTACGCTTGGATATTAGGAACAACATGGAGAATAAAACCATTACCAACGTCATTGGCCAGATCAGAGGCGCCGTAGAACCCGACCGTTATGTACTCATAGGGAACCATCGGGACGCTTGGGTGTTTGGTGCTGCTGATGCAGTTAGCGGTACGGCTGCAATGATGGAGTTGTCTCGTGGTTTGGGAGAGCTTCTTAAAACGGGATGGCGACCTCGCCGGACCATAATGCTCTGCAGCTGGGACGCGGAGGAGGTGTTTGTGGTTGGATCAGCCGAATGGGTTGAAGAAAATGCTCGAACTCTTCAAGATCGCGCTGTTGGTTACCTCAACATGGACGTGGCTGTCAATGGCAATTTCAGTATCAACGTTGATGCAAATCCTCTACTCCAAGACGTGGCTGTATCGTTGACCAAAGAAGTATGTGATCCAACAGTTTCGGACACTTGCAGAAGCATGTACGATGTCATGTTAGAGAGAGATGTTACGAAACACGAGAACGGGATCCCATTCTGCGATAATTTGTCGTTCGGAAGTGATTACGTGTCGTTTTATCATTTCATCGGAGTCTCTTGTGCGGATTGGTCTTACATTTTCGGGGGGTTGTATGGAATAAGGCGATCGTATCCAGTTTATCATTCCATTCACGATTCATATTACTGGATAAAAACCTTTGTCGATCCCGAGTTTAAGACTCACCTAGCCGTAACAAAATATGCAGGGATTTTTCTTCTTGAATTAGCAGACGTGGAGCTCTTGCCTTTCAACACTACAACCTATGCAGAACTGTTACAGAAAAAATCCACTATTATAGAAAAGAGCAAACATCTCAAAACACACAGCATCAGCACTGCTGCCTTCTCTCGCGCGGTAAAGAACTTCGCAAAAGTTGCGCGTCAGTTTGAAAGCAGTAAGTCAAAACATAAACCAGAGAGCTACCGCACGTTAAACGATCAAATGATACAACTAGAGAAGGCGTTTATTCAAACTGTGGAAGTGAATGATCATAAACAATTACGACATGTTATATACGGTCCAAAGCTTGCTAATCTTTACGGCGGTATCTATTTCCCACGCGTACATTATGCCACGATGAAGGCCGAAAAGACGGGAGACTGGAAATCGGTGGAGAAAGAAATATCACTTTTGACATTTGCCATAAACTCAGCCTCGAGGGTTTTGAAACCGATATGATAAACAAGAAAGCTGTAAAATAGTATTAAATTTGTCATGTGAAGAACTACCGTGGATAAATTTGAATTTTTTTCTAAGCCGTTTTGTTCATGCTAGTTAGAAATTTGCTACGTTCTTTTTCGGCATTTTCGCCGACCCATGCTCATTTGAGATTTGTCACAAAGCAATTGTGAAAAAAGCCAGTTTAAATTCATTGGAACTGAAGAAGCTAGTCAATAAAGAAGTTAATATTTGACATAAAAAATATCTTGTAGAATGTACCCTTGTCGTAGAATGAATTCGCGAGACTCAGTAATAATCATGGATTAGTTAAGTGTGTTCGATGTGGCCTAGGAATGAGTATTTTTTTTCTTAGCGTAATAAAATCCAGGGCATAATTAAATCTGCAAACATCAAATTGTGGTGCGGCTCACAGTTCCGATTTGGGTGCAATTTTTCTACATATCTTCCAAAGGCTGCCTAACTTATCTACTCCTGCATGAAATCGAGGAGAATGTATTCTCGCGTGAGATTAAGACCAGGTGTATCAGTCAGTCCAAGATGGCGTCGAAAAGCTGAAAGAGTCTGACTTCGGATCGATGTCCACGGGACTGAAAATAGACACGAATTGTAAGCGTTCTTCTACTTTGAACGCATGCAGTTTACAGACTCTTAGGCCTTTTATTAAATAAAATTTTAACTATTATTCATCCAAACCGCACTCTAATCAATATTGAGACAAGCAGAAAAATTCACCCAATCGTTAAGATTTTGCGAAACCGTCAAAGAGATTTATATAAAGCTCCAAAAGAAAATCAAATTTCTTGGAAAAAACCCACAAATGATGAACATTCGAAGTTTTGATCGTCAAATTAAAAGCCGCGGCCCTAATTAGACCTCGTTTCAATAACCGAACCTCGGGGCCAGTTTATTACACAAGGTCTAACCCAAACCACGGTTTTTACTTAATTAGTGGGCCTCAGGCTTTCTCTATGAGAGGATAAATCTGTTTAACCTGCAGAGAAGGCGTAATTTTGGCGAGCGAGTGCTCAGTATTTTCTTAGCCAAAATCATAGAGCTATCTTTGATTTTCATGGCAGCGGAAGGCTGGGGAGTGAAAGAGTGTTAAGGGGGTGAGCGACAGTAAAAAGTAAGTAGAGGGGAGGGGGTGAGGGAGTGAATATAACTCCGCCTTTTTACCTTTCCCCGACATTTCCCTCACCGTCGACTGTAACTTCAAATCAATCATGGCTGGCTGAATAAACGTACGTTTCTTAAACGTTAACTTGCCCTAATATAAGATGGCTACACTGTTTCCTTACTCAGAACTGGTTAGCTCAAATGACCACCACAAACCGTATAATATCAAGCCAAGCTTTAATAATCATTCGATCTAAAATAGAATCTCACTTTACAGGTTAGCAGATTCTCCAGGTAAGCGGATTTGGAGACAGAAAAAATGATAACAAAATAACTTCTCTCTAACTTCGATTCCGGTGAAAAACTGACTTGAAACATAATAATCTAACGCTTTTAAATCCATCTAAAGAATTAATGTCAATCACGATTCTTGTCATTAAGTAAATCTGTCAACAACAACGCCTATTTGATAAACGAAACATACACTGCAGGCTATAATTTGATTAAATAAAAGTCCTTCGACTTTTAGCTTTCGGCCATCTTAACACTGTTCACAAGAACAAATGTGCAGATAAAAGGTCCAGCTAAATTGATGATTGTTTAAGACGCGATTTCGTTAAACAACGGCTAAACTTTGTTTTAATAACCGGTCCTTAGTGTCTCCTCTGTACAACCTCAACCTTAGTGTCTCCTCTGTACAACTTCGCTTCCCGCAAAGAGCAGTGAAGCAGTGAGCAGTAGCTCCTAGTGTTGTGGTCTGGCCTTGTTATTTTTTATACATGCAGGCCCCAATTTAAAGTAGCTTTAAAGCTGAACTGGGCCAGTCTGTCAAAATATCGTAAATAAATAAATAGCTGGGAGCTAGCTGGCCGAGCTACACTAGCTGTTGATATGAGTGTCTCAGTTACAAGGATCTTGTGTAGAGTTGACACAAGTAAATAAGGTTCAGGCTTCTTTTCGATCGCTAGAAGCTAACGAATCAGACGTTTCCTCGGCTCTCTTCTCTGATAGTATCATTACCGAGGTCATTCATTTCTAGTTCATGGACTATGAATACTAAAATTGAGCTCTTCTTTAACAACTTACCCCCATTGAGCATTAATGCACTGCGACTTCAACTTGATTATTTTATCTAACGGTAGAAGAACTGTCCCACTCGAACGGGCAACCATGCTTTCTCCATCATGGAGTTGCCTTCATGGCCAAAATGGAATACTTTACTAGGTACAGGAGAAAAACTAAAAACCAGGAGTAAATCCAAACAAACAAACGTCGGCAAACAAACAAAGCACCTGTAGATTGTGAAACAGCCTGGTTTGCACAGCTTGAGAGTTCATCCCGATTTCGGAATCATAGTGCGACGGAGCCTAACCTCTAGCTTTTTGTCAGGGCCTCCCTTACAGTTCGTTTGTGCTATGAATTTTTTTCTCCCGGGTATCGGTTGCGTAGTAAAAGTAAAGTTTCTTTCCGGGCTTTGATCTTGACTCGATCCTGGACCGCTCTAGTTTGAAGCCTTAATCAACAGGCTAGCACACACATGTTACATTTTGGCCATAGGACTAATAAAGATTGTGTTTTCTCAAGCTGGAAGCTGTCATATTCAGGGTATTAAAATATAACGAAGGAAACCAATTTTTCAAATAAAAGTTCAAAAATATCTTCGTCTTTATATGGGTTTCAGAACATTTGCAGTAGAAGTAATGGCATATGTCAGCAAAGATATCTCTTTTTCCACCAATTTCCAATCTCCTGTTTTTTTCGCCTTGATCATGGCATAATGTACACGCGGAAAATACAAGTTATCGTACAGATCATCGATGTTGAGGCCATGTATTACATGTCTGGAAAGTTTCCAGTCGTTTTCTTCTACAGTTTGTATAAAAGCTTTTTCCACTTGCATCATTTGATCGTTCAGGATGCGGTAGTTCTCTGGTTTCTCATTTAACTTGCCTCTTTCAAACTGACGCGAAACTTTTGCAAATCTCCTCACTGCGCGAGAAAAAGAAACCGTGCTGATGTTATGCGCCCTTAGAGTAGCATTCTTTTCCAAGGAAACTGCTTTTGATTTTAAGAATTCTCCGTAACTGGTTGTGTTGAGAGGTAACAGTTCAGAGTCGGAAAGTTTGAGAAGAAATGCCCCTGCAAATTTTGTCACGGCCAGATGAGTTTGAAATTCAGGATCAACAAAAGTTTTCATCCAGTAAAACGTGTCGTGCACGGAGTGATAAACGGGATACGCTCTCCTGATGTTGTATCGTCCTCCAAAGATATAAGACCAATCTGCGCAGGGAATCCCAAGGAAGTGGTAAAACGCTCCATAATCACTACCAAATGACAAATCGTTACATACTGCGCGGCCATTAACATGTTTAGTTATATCTCTCTCCAACATGACTTCGTACATACTTTTGCAAGTATCTGGAACTGTTGGATCACAAATTTCTTGCGTCAACTGTAATGCCAAATGTTTGAGTAAAGGACTGGCATCGACATTAAGACTGAAATTACCATTAACAGCCTGGTCTATGTTAAGGTAAGCAACAGCGCGATTTTGAAGAATTTGAGTATTTTCCTCGACCCATTCCGTTGATCCAACAGCACCAATTTCTTCTGCATCCCAGCTGCACAGCATTATTGTCCGGCGTGGCCTCCATCCTTTTTTAATCAACTCTCCTAAACCACGTGATAGTTCCATCAACACAGCCGTACCACTAACAGGATCGGCAGCACCAAATACCCAGGCGTCTCGATGATTTCCCAGGAGTACATAACGGTCGGGTTCTTTTGCGCCCCTAATCTGGCCGATCACATTGTAAATGGTTTTGAATTCCAAGCTGCTGTTGACATCCACACGCAAAGTGAGGCTTTTGTCTTTAAATCCAGGTCCGATATAGTAAGTTAACTGCAAACCTCCTTGCCAACTCTTTGGTGCTTTAAGACCTATCAAATTAAATAGAAACTTCCTTTATACCCTGTAGACATATAAAGTTTTGGGAAAGATCACTTTCTTTTTAGGCGTTACCTACTCTTCAAACATTTGAAAAGACAACAGATGTGCGTGGTACTAAATCAAAAGAGGAAATTAGCGAGGCAACACAAAGCATGCAAGACAAAACTTCGTCAATTGATCGAACTAATAAGTTTTCTAAAAATTTCCAGATGCAGTTACTCTCCATAAAAACGCACAGACGGACTTTCGATTTAATGAATTATCGTAATAGTTTAGCCAGAAAGGTTTTCTTGCTACACAGGGTAGGAAATTTCAGTTTTTTCTTTCTCTTCTTTGAAAAAACCTGGTAGGGCCTCAGGCCCTTAGTAACACCTTCCTCTTCCTGTGCTTGAAGCGTACTAACCTTTCATGCGACGCAGTATCTCCTGCGCATCCCCGTAGGATAGCACAATGGCAGGGATTGGCGAAGAACCATTGTTATTAAGTACCTCTCGGTAAATACCATCCACAGAGGGAAAACCTGGGGTGAGTGGGTCACCAAGCCCCGTTGCGTTTCTTGCTGCTCCACGCTGGGCCCCAGAGTCAGGAAGCCACCAAGAGTGAGGGAAAGTGTTGTTGCCGGTTCCCTCCGGTGCATACTCTGCAGGATCGTTATAGATGATGGCCGCAGATGCACCATGTGAAGCAGCATTGAGAACCTTTAGAAAATGATTTTAGTCTTTGGATTAATTCAAAGTAAGATCCTTTGTTGTTAAGTGCAAGACTCGATCGAGAGCCTGCAGTGTAACTATATTGATGAAAGGGAAAAAGGGAGGGGGGGAAGGGGTCATTATTTATTGCTGAGGGGGGGGG